AAAACAGAACGGAGATAAGAGGAAAAGGAGAGGAGTGAGGGAGAGGGAGAGGGAGAAGGAGAAGGAGAGGGAGAGGGAGAAGGAGAAGGAGAAGGAGAAAAAAGTCGTTAACTGGCGACGTTTTCGAATTTATACATCTCTCTTTTCTCCCTCTCCCATTGGGCCACCTTCATCTCTCTCTCTCTTTTTCTTTCTCTTTTGGTCTTGAACATTTTGTTTTTTTTTTGTTTTTATGAAAGAATTCCAAAATCCAATGGAGAGTGAAAGCAGCAGCCGAAAGCCGGCAAAATGTGCGAGTTTCGTTTGGTCTTTTAACAACAATAACAAATACACACACACACCACACACACACAACACTCTTAAAGTTTATTGACTGTTGTGTATCTGTACATCTGTGAGCTTTAGTATCTTTGAAATTTTGTATCTCCATCGAGAGTTTGTGTATTTTTTTTGGGAGTTGAACTCGTTTCTTAGTTGCAGCATGTATTTTTTTGGAGGGGAAATATTGATCAGATATTTGTGTGGGCTTAGGGATTTAAATATTTGTATATATGTACATATATATAATATGCATATTTTGTTAGCAACTGCATTTAGCAGGTTTAACTCTGAAAACGTTTTATAAATATGTAAGAATATAAAATTTGTTATATAAACATTAATTTTGACAACAAAAATAAGTTGACTTATTATTAATAGAATTTATCTTAAGGTCGAAATTTATATTTATGGGAATTTTGTATAATTTATTAATATTATTCATTTAAAACTACCTTTTTTATATACTTAATTTATAGAATTTATACATTTCATAAAAGTTTTCCTTTGTTGCGTTATTTATTATAAATAGAATTTATGTGAAGCTTCCAATTTATATTTGAAGGAATGTTCCTTAATTTAATAATATTATTCATTATAAACTACCTTTCTTATATATTTGATTTGTAGAATTTGTACATTTTACTAAAGTTTTCCTTAGTTTCGTTATTTATTATAAATATAATTTATGTGAAGCTTTCAATTTATATTTAAAGGAATGTTCCTTAATTTAATAATATTATTCATTATAAACTATATATTTGATTTGTAGAATTTGTACATTTAACTGAAGTTTTTCTTATTTTCGTTATTATTTTCGAATTAATTTCTTGAATTTATACATTTCACTAAAATTTTTTATTATTTTCGTTTTTAATTTTGATATATTTATTTATTTATCTTATGTTACATTGAATTCTATTTATAAAAAATATATTGACTTAAATTCTATTAATAATAAATCAAGCTATTTCTTGTAAAGAAAATTTAACTAGGGTATATTCATATTTAATTCAATAAAAATACAGAAAACTGCCTTTTTTTATACTTATGTATTTGTAGAATTTATAGTTTTGTTAAAGTTTTTCCAGTTTTCTTATCATTCTTTAATGTATGTATAATTATCATAATAGATAAACGTATTTTTAATTTTTATAATTATTATTATTTTTTTTCGTTTTCTATAGATTTTATTTATAAAATTGATAGTTTTAAACAAAGTTTTCCCAGTTCTCTTATTCATTTTTCAGTTTTGCATTGATTTTTTTGATTATTTACCTTACATTAAATTTTAGTAATAATAAATAAATAAATTATATATATATAGAATTTTTCAGAGCATCCTATTTATTTTTGGTATAATTTCTGTTTAAGTTAATACTGTAAAATCCCTTTTTTATTGCTTTTTATTTGCATAAATTAAATACTCATCTATGGTTTTCTAATGACATATTTTAGACTTTTTAAAAATAAATAATAGCTTTATAAACATTCTGCTTATCATGCATTTGCCTTTCGCAATGTGAGATTGCCGCCAAAAAAAAAAAAAAAAAATGCAAAAAGCAAACAAAAAATGAAAACTGAAAAACGAAAGACTTAAGGCACAAACTTGTCGCCGCAGCAACAGCAGGTTGCAGCCTTACATAAAGCAAGTGGCAAAAAGGAAAAAAACCGAGAAAAATCGCTGGAAGTCTGTGGCACAAAAAACAAGTGGAAAACCAGTCATGAAGTTTTGCCGGCCAGGAGTTTTTTTTCTTATATCTTTTTTCATTTTTTTGTATATAAAGATTTTGTGCAACTGCTTGAATATTTCTCCTTTTGGCGGGTTTCTTTTGTCTCGGTTTTTTTTTGGTATTTTTTGTTTTTGTATTTAAGCACTTGCGTAAATTATATTTTTTTTTAACAGCACTTTCGCGCCAGACTTTAACTCCCCCTCTATGAATATATATATATAAATATATATATATATATATTTTTTTTGTTAAGCTTTTTGGCCTGGCTTACTTTTGCTTTTATCTCTTTGGGTTGATTGCAGATGCCTGATGATGCTACTTTTATGGCTATTAAAAGTTGCTTTTATGGTTTTATTTTAGGTTTTGTTTAGAAATATCCAGAAAATACCTAATGTTTTTGTTTATTTTAGTTCTTGATCTCAAGATTATGCTTTGTTACTTAGTTATTATTTAGTTCCTGTTGGGTTTTGTTGTTGTTTTTCCTAGCAAGTTGAACGCTCTACTTAAGCCACTTTAAGTGCGCGCCAAAAAAGCATTTAATTGCACACTCAATTGTCTGGCCGCTTCTTTTTCCGTTTGAATTGCTTTATATATGGCCTATAATTTCGTATTATCTTGCCTTTGTTTACGGATCTTTATATATATATTTTTTTTGGCTGCTTTGCAATGCAACCGTTACACAGGCCTCTTACCAACGCACATACTTAACATTTTTATATAGTTTTTCTTTTTGCTTGCCACTCCAGAAATAATTAAATGAAACCCAGAGTTACATAAGCCAGGAAAGAAAAAAATAAAAAATAATACAAATAGTAAACAAAACATAAAGCCTTAAGCCAAAAAACAGATTCTCCAGTCACGTCGCAATCCAAGTTTTACTCAAGGCAACACCATTGAATTCTTTATTTCTTTTTGTTGTTGTTTTTTTCGATGTGATTTCAATTAACATAAAGGTAAACATTACAAAGTCGAAGAACAAGTTTTTCAATGTTGACTCCCAAGAAAAACTTCACTTTCAATTGTGTGCCAAGAATCATCAACGACGAACAACTGTATTCAACCAATTGCTCAGCGAATCGTGATCCGTTTTAAATGTAACATTCTTTATAAACTAAAAGTGGAGCAGCTGCAAATTGCTATAAACTTTTAATCGAAAGGGCTTTATAAAGTCCAGTTGTAATGGCATCGGAATGCCAAATGGTTTTGTCAATGATCATAATGCAAATGGGAATTGATCTGGTTGCCTTGATTGTTGAATAGTTCACTTAATTAAGAGATTTGAGGGGGTACAATAAATGGAAATAGTAATCACTGCTTGAAAAAATATAGTATTTTGTGATATTCATGATAATTTATAGTATTTTATAATATTTTAGATCATTTTATGGGAAGTATTTATTGATATTTTGCACATCTAATTTTATTTTGGAATTTTCTATGACATTATATGATATTTTGTGGTAATTTATAATAATATATTTATGATAAATTATAATATTTTATAATATACCATGATATTCTATGATATTTTATGATATTACATGGTATTAAATGATATTCAGTGATATTCAATGATATTTTGTGTAATTTTTATTTCAATTTTAACCAACAAAACATTTTAAATAGAACTTGCATCTTCTCCATTCCTAAAAACTATTTTTTATTAAGAATTTAAAAGGCATTTATAAAGATTTCTTAAAGAAGGTATTCTTTATTCCATAACAAATTAAAATTTGTTACATTATTTTCCCTTTTTCAAAAGACCTATTTAATTCTTCAGTTTCACTGATATTTTCCCCGGAGATTTATTCCCACTTCCGTTTTATCTCTACCAGCTCTCCCATGATTTTCCCCTCTGATTTTCCGCTGATTTTCTACTGATTTTTCCACCTGGAAATCACTCTCAATTATTGTCGCCGCCGTGACATCAGCAAGTATTTTTCTTTTCCATTTCTTTTTCTCTTCGTTTTTCATCTCGATTGAAACTGAAGTGGAAATTGAATGGCAGAGAGCTGGCGACGATTGAAGATGCTGGGCGGCGAGCGGTTCAATTGGAAAGTGCGTTGAAGTTGCTGCACGCTCATTACCGTTTTGCTTGTCGGCATTTCTTTGGAGTTTTGTCGAAAAACGCACCGCGAACAGGTTGAAAAGCGTTCGTAATCAGTGCTGGTCACTTGACTTTTTTTTTTACATTTTTCTATATATATATTTTATCTTAGGATATATACCTTTGCAGGGTTTTATCACTTTAGTCGGTAAAGTAATCATTTCCGACCCTATAAAGTATATATATTCTTGATCAGCATCAAACGGTGAATCGATTTAGACATGTCCGGTGGAAAAATAAATTTTCGAAAATTTTTCCAAATTTTATAAGGGGTAACATCGTTAAAGCTGACAAAAAATTTTACAAAAAAATTGAATTTTTTAAATTCTAAAACTCAATATGCAGATTTGTTAACCTTTTAAAAACTAGTACAGAACAGCTTACCGAATTGAAATTAAGGCTTTTTTGGTCTAGTTATGATATTTGGAAAATCTCGAGCTTACCCTAAAATTAACAATTGAAAGTATCACTTTAAAGTTTCAATAAATAATTTCAATAATTTATCAAAAATTAAAAAATTTTTTATATTTTTATTAAAAAATTCAAAACTCTATAAGCTTATGAAAAACCAATACGATAGCGTTTTAAAAATATAAATTAATGCATAGTCCGTTGGCTTAGTTATTTTAAAACTTTTTCAAAATCTAGCTATTTTCTATGGCCCATTAGCTGATTGTCGCATCACTGATCGACCGCTGACAGGCAACAACAAAGCATATGGCATTCCGCAAACTTAAAGCTTCGCTGCGGCAGCGACTTGGCAGCGGTTGAAAGCCGCGCTTGGCGATCAACCCGCAATTCAGAATTCAGTTGGCAACGAACGCGCCGACGAGCAACACGCGCATGCTCTCTCTTGTCTGTCTTTAAGCGCTCTCCGACAGCTCTCGCAAATAACGGTAGCCCGTGTTAGCACGTGAATCGATACGTTCGATTATCGTTTATCGTTCATCGAACACTGAAGTGGATTTTTTTTTTATTGTATTGTATTTGTGTGTTTCGAAGTGAAATGGAATTTGTTTAATTTTAATTGCACGCAGCAAGCTGCCGGCAAAACAACAACAACAAAAAAGGCAATAACAACATCAACAGCAGCGACCAGATTTCATTCAACCTGAGATAAAAACCTCAACAATAACAACAACAACAGCAGCATCAGGAGAAAATAGCTGATAAACAGACAATAATAATAAAACAAAGGCCACGGACGCCGCTTCAATTAGCGTAAGTTTTGCACACGAAAGAGGTGGAGAAATGAATTGAGAAAGGTGAAAAGCGAGAGGGGGAAAATGCTGGCAAACAATAATCATGAATTACAAATGATATTATTATCAAGCAGGCACGTGCATGCATATGCATGTCGCTTGACAAACTGTCAGCTGCTGCAGTGGCTGTCAAAGACCATGCAAAAAGTGAGATAAATTCAAAGCAAGCTAGAAACTCATAAAAACTAAGAGTTATCATTGTTTCTATATAGCTTTTGGTTAGATAAATTCTCGAACTAACAATTTGTACTCCCTACTGTTTATGTTGAAGGTCATATTTCGAGGGCAGAACAATTTTAAAAACCAAAAACAAAGACTGAGAACCGAAATATAAATCTCTGAACAAAATTTGATTACTCTCATTATTCTTTGTATAATCACTGTCCAAAATGTGAGTCATTTCATTATTTTTTAGCTTTTAACATTGTCTGGTTAAATCCCTCCTAAACCCCTGGCTAACGATCTTAAAACGATCTCCACAGCAGCTTAACAATTCAATTCCCATCGAAATCGGGCCACTTCGCAGCGCAAATAGGAAAAAAAGAAATAATAAACATGAAAAACGATCTTAAAACGAGTGCAGTTTCTTTTGTAAAAGTCTTTTTAATTGTTTTTTGTGCTCTTTATTATTATTTGTTGCTATTTTTTGTTATTATTTTTTTTTTTTTTTTTGCTACTTGTTGCCTTTGGTCAGTCACAAAAGAAACCATTACCAGAAATATGGAAATTTATGGAGGTTAGAGCAACACACAAAAAAGAAATAATAATAAATAAAATGGAAAGTATTTATGAACAATTTTTGACAACCACAAACAGAGTGGAAATTAGTTCTTTAGTTTTTTACTTTTTGCGTTGTACTTAACAACTTTAAAGCAGTTTTTTTTTAATGTCTGTTCGCTGGTCAAAAGTTCACTTTTAGAATGGGTAATTAAATCTTAGAAAAAATAAATAACAATTATACAAAATTATTTTACTTAAATATATTTCCTTTGATAGTTTAGAAACAAATAAATAAATAGTATTCTAACAATTATTTCAATTTGAAATTTATTCTTTAAAATTTGAAGTTTATTTTGTCAAAGTAAAAGGTTTTGATCTGTGAAATGTGTTCTTAAAAATGTTTTACATTTAATAATGTTATATTTTGTTAATAATAAAAAAAAGCGTAAAAATATATTTAATGAAATGTCAGAAGATACAAATTTGCTAATAAATATTTAAAGTTATAATTATAAAATCTTTAAAGACAAAAACAGTAACTAGTAACTTGTTTTTAGTTTCAAATATTAGGGGAAATTTTATGTATATAAGTAACATAGTTTTTTACATTTATTCTTGCCAATTTTTATAATTTAAAAATAATATTAAATAGCGTTTTTTTACATACATAATTTATTTTATTCCCCCTCTCAAAAACCATTCTTTATTTGAGCTTCCTCATAAATAGTTTTTGCTAATTAATATTTAAAGTTGCATTGCTAATAGCCAGTCTTCTTTTTTTTTGGGTAATCCCCTCTTAATTACTCGATGGCTTAATCGCCTTACAATTATGAATTTTTTTTGCATCACAACCTCAGTTAGCAAATGAAGAAATACTTGATTTTGATTGCGATTACGACTTAGGGTCTGGAGAGCCTCCAAAATGGGAGAAGGGAATGGGTACTTAGGACACCCATCTATGGACTTCTTCGGGTTGCATAATGATAATAAAAAATTATTATAAATAATATGAAAAACCCAGAGAGAAGTACGTGAAGTACGCCCACGGCACGCGTACTTATGCGATAATTGCAGGAAATGCAACCAAAAAAAAACAAAAAAAACTAAAGGAAAACATTGCATGCAGCGAAAGTTTTTCCCTGAAGTGTGTGCATATTATAAATAATAATAATAAAATGCGAGGCGAAAACAAGAAAATTGCAAAGAGGCCAAAAAAATAAACAACAAAAATATAAAAACCGCAACTGCTGCCCACTGGCTAATAATTGAAAGTGAAAGGGGGAACCCAGACGCAGGCGCAGACGCAGTTAGCGGCTTGCGATTTGAGTTTTCAGATTTCAGACTAACGGATACACTGCTAGAAAAATATATTGTAAATAGTAGAAAATTCAAGTTAATATTTCAGAGTTAAAATAATAAAAAAAATACAGGTTAATAAGCTATAATATGCTTTTATAGCGTAGGGTTTGGCTTGACAGCTTCTGTAAATATTGATCAACATGTTCTTAGCAACATTTTGCTTAGAAACATTTTCTTAAGCATTTTGCAAGGTTAAATATTAAATTTTATAAATTTAAATAGCGCTATAAATGCATTTATTAAATGCAGGATTGTTTTAGCAGCTTAAGTAAATATTTTTCAATAATTTCTTAGCAACATTAGGCTGAGAAACATTTTCTTAAGCATTTTGATACACTGCTAGAAAAATATATAGTAAATAGTAGAAAATTCAAGTTAATATGTCAGAGTTAAAATAATAAAAAAATACAGGTTATTAAGCTATAATATGCTTTTATAGCGTAGGGTTTGGCTTGACAGCTTCTGTAAATAGTGATCAACATGTTCTTAGCAACATTTAGCTTAGAAACATTTTCTTAAGCATTTTGCCAGGTTAATTATTAAATTCTATAAATTTAAAGAGCCCTATAAATGTATTATATAAATTGAGGTTTGTTTTAACAGCTTAAGTAAATATTTTTCAATAATTTCTTAGCAACATTAGGCATAGAAACATTTTCTTAAGCATTTTGATCAACATTTTCTTACCAACATTTAACTGAGAAATATTTTCTTTAGCACTCTGCCAGTTTAAATCTTAAATTTAATCAATTTAAAAGGTACAATAAATGCATTAAATAAATGTAGATTTATTTTAACAGCTTAACGAAAAGTGTTTAAATATGTTCTTAGCAACATTTGGCTTAGAAACATTTTTTTGAGCATTTTGCAGGTTAAATGTTGCTTTAGATATTCTTAAATATTAAACAAAATATGTATTAATTAAATGCCTTAAATATTTAACTATTAATACTTTTAAATACATTACTTCTTGGCTTATCAGTTTTAGTTTATACTTAAAAACCATTTTTAGCAACATTCAGCTTAGAAACATTTTCCTGTGCATTTTACCAGCTTAAATTAAATTTTTTATAAACAACATGGTAACTAAACTAAAGCCTCATTGAATATTTAAACTTATTTACTGATTTAATCTATGACTAAAGAGTAAAAACTATTATATTTTTTCTTCCTAGTTGTAAATATTTATAACTAATATTTTACTAGCTATTAATATGAATATTTATATTTTATATATATTATTTTTTCCGTGTGCTCTAGTTAGCTTTATCTAATGATATATGCCTTCATTTCCTTGCAAGTTGGGCAAGTGTTTTATTTCTGAATTTATTTCATTTTTCGTTTTCTGATTGCTCTCTCAAGATATGTGCGATTTTATTTGTATTTTTTTCGTAGGCTATTTTCCTTGTTCATTTTTTTTTTGCCACTCTTTTGAGTATTTCATAAGCCATAAGGCTGGTCGTAAATTGGCCAGCTTAGATGCCCGTTGGCTGTTACCAATATTCGATCGCTGGCCAAGTTAACAACTGCGTGCGTTGCACTCGCAGTGCGTAAGTCCACAATTTTTCCGCACTTTCCGTTCGTTGGATGTTTTTTTACAATTATTTTTCGTATGAAGTCTTTTTTTTTTTTGTATTTATTTATTTTTCTGTATTTTTTTTATTGTGGCAAAACAAGAGCGAACGGCAAACGGCGACGACCTTGCCGCCTTAATTGCAAAGAAATAATAAGAGTGCGACTCCAACTGCGAATGCGTGCAACGATAGTTGTTCGAAACCAGATTAGGCAGTTGCTTGAATGTTAACTATATGCGATATATGTATAAACATAGATATATACATACCATGTGCGGCATTTGAGGCTACCTGCCATTGCACCTGGCTATGATAATAAGCCATAATTACCAAAGCAGCGGTGAGGTGGTATAATTTTTTTTTAGGCAGAGATCAACCAAGATCAGTAACCTTTTGTATGGGGATAAGAGATGGGTAAATGGGATATTTATCACTCTTTTATTAATAGCAGGAAAGAGCTAAGAATTCAATTAAAAATTAGAGAAATAACTAAGGAATTTATAAAAGAGAAAAGACTTTAAAGTTGTTTTTTATAGAATATATTTAAAGGTTAATGGTTAATAATTAAACATAAAGAAAACAATATAAATGTAGGATACTTTAAAGTCAAGTAAACACACTTTCCATGACTTTTTAGGCTTCTTTTTGAATAAATAATACATTTTTAAGCCTTTTATGCCTCTTTTCTAAATAAAAAGTATATTATTTTAATCTTATTTCATGCTTTTTCAATTAAAATTCATTTTTCAAAAATCTTATGCTTATATTTCAAACAAATAATACATTTTCAAGTACCTTATCCTTCTGATTTTTGTAAAATAATTAATTTTTCAGGAGTCCGATTCTTCTTTTTAAATAAAAAATATATTCTCAGGTATCTTATGTTTCTTTTTTAAATGAATTATAAATGTTCAAGTAACTTATGCTTGTTTTCTAACTAAAAATTTATTAAATATGCTTTAATTTTGTTGTTTTTTTTTCTATAATAACGTAGGATTTTTAGTTATTTTAGGCTTCTATTTTAAATAATACATTTAATATAAAAACTTATAATTTCAAGTATTTTATGCTGTTTTTTAAATAAATAATATATTTACAGGTATCTTAGGCTTGCTTTTTTAAATAAATAACAAATCATTAAAGTAATAATAAAACCCTAAAAATGAAAAATGAAAAATAAATATTTATTTAAAGTAGTTGTCAATGATTTATTAGTATTTAAATATTATATTCAAGCTATTTACTAAGACTCCCTTAATTTCACATAAAGAACTACTTATTTTTCCTACTTAAAAATCTAGATTAA